TCTTCCATCTTGTTTTTTCTTTTTCTTTATTTTGTGTGTGTAAGGTGAAGGTGAAATGTGGAGTGGGTATGGAATGAAACAGGAGGAAGCATTATTGTTCAAAACTTATTCCTCTATCACAGTATATTAATTAATTATATTAACTATATTATATTGATTGTGAGTAATTGCACCAGGTACTAAACTTGTTGATAGCTCTTCAGCCCTCCAATCATATTTTAATGAACTACTTAAAAGAAAAAATAACTCTGTGGTAAAAGTTCAGTAAAATGCTCAAAATATTTATTATGATATATAAATCCTAAAATAAGATACTGAAATACAAAACACTGGGAGCATTATTCCTTACTAATTTTGTTTCCATTATAGAAATAGCATTAAAATATATGAGAATCTATTGAGTTACTCCTGATTACCCAATGAAGTGCTTTGCTTTAAGAATTTGATTATATTTTTCATTTACATTGCATATAAATGCCTCAAATTTTACACTGAAATGCACATTTGTCCCAATTAGTTTTACCCTACACTTTTGGAGTTTTGTCTTTTTTTTTTTTTAACTTACTGGCATTTGCCTAGACGTTGTTGTCTATAGCTTCGCGATACTCTTACAGATAATACTAAATTGTGACAGAGGTCATCTATAGAATAGTGAAGGCTCTTTAATGTTTACCTGGTCTGTTCTAGAAAGTCCAGAACCTGACATAGATCACCGTATAATGATGCTGTTTCTTGTTCCCAGACAACAGTTGTTTATTTAGCTGATATTTTTTGAATCCATGAGAGTATAAATGGTCACTAGAAATTACCTGAGGAAAAGGATAAATGATAGTGCTGTCACTGGAAAGCCAGATCCTGATGCAGCAAGGAACAGGACACGCACTTTCTTCGTCCTTGGTTCTTTGTGCTCTTGATGAAAGAATTCAGTCAGGACTCATAGGTCTAGGTGCAATTTACTGTCAAGTAGCTATAGAGTTATGCCTTCAAACAAGGAGGTAGGCAGTGACACAAAATGTGAGTTTGCTCCAAGTGTGAGTTTGGATATATTTTTATGCACCTAAGAATTACTCTTGGGGTTGGGGAACTGGAATAATCATGATGCTATCAACTTTTCCCTTAAAAGTTATATAGGCAATGCAAAAAATCTTCCTGTCTTTTTAGATGGTCAGTATTTCCTTATGGGCTTTAATCAAATAAGAAACTTACAAAGGATGCATTCTTAATTCCAAGCAGGTCCCAGCCCAAGGTAGGAATATTTTGAAAGAATATTTCCCTTCCTGATAGCACTGAGCTGTAGGGTATGGCAGCCAGGAATGCAGTATGCCTTGCTCTGAGGTGCATGATTATCAGAAGGAATGTGCAGAGAGCATAAATTTAAAATGCCATTATTCTTTGTGGGCTCACTTTAGGCTGGAGGCCTAACATACAATTATTGTATTATACATTGAAGTTTTTCTTTAATCAGTGGGCATTCCACCTTTCTATGCTTAGGCCTGCTAATGTCTAAATATCTGCCTAACAGTACTAGACTGAAGAACTTGGGACAAAACCAAGGCCTCATTTCGTTGTTGTTGTTGTTGTTGTTTTTCTCATTGAGTTTATTGGTACATTTTAGGTATACAGTACAGTTACATTCATTATTGGGATGTCCTGGTTCGTTTTTCACTAAGGTAAGAAGGAATTTCATTTGGGAGAATGTCATTTACCCAAAGGCAGAAAACTATGGGATTGCTTGGAATCAACATACTGATTTACTCATTAAAATTAAAAAGGAAACTTTGCTGAGGGAATATTACAGGTAAATTCGATGTTGTGTGATAAATTTTAATAATATAAATTATTAAAAATTTTACTCAATTTATTCTAAATTTTAAATACTTCAAATTTTTCTTATTGTTTTAATTCTAATTTTAAAAACAAACTAGTCAGTTAAAATAATTTGCAAAAAATACCAGGAGCTTGAGGATCCATTATTTATTTTTGCTTTCATAAATGGCAGTTATTTGGGGACATTGGTATTTCTGACCAAATGTATTTCTGGGTATGTCCCACTCTTCCTGAGCTTGGAGGGGATGAATTACAATTCGCAATCTAATTTATAGTCATCTTAAAATTCAGGGATCTTCTAGGAACTGAAGTTTTGGTAATGTCAGGATGAGTTTATAATCTGATGGCAGTGATAAGATATGGAAACCAATAAATACTGACCAGGCTTAAAATAGAGACCTCTTGAAGTCCATTTCATCTCTAAGATCTTGATGGGAGACCCTGGGAAACTGACATTTTTGAGTGTCTACAGAGTGCTAAGTAATGTAGTCCAAATTTTCTGGTTTATATTCCCCCAGCACCCATATTATCCTAAAAACCTTTAGGAAGAGGATAGTCAATCTCATTTTATACATGAAGAATCTGAGCATAGAAAAATTAGGGAATTTGTTCAGCGTTGCACGTATTACTGGAGCACCGACTGAAATTCATATGTGAGAAATAAACAAAGTCCAGGATTTTCCCACTACACCACAAAGGCTCTACCTAAATTGTCCTTTCTCCAAAGAGTGTTATAAACCAATGATGACAAATTGCTCAACAGATATATTTTTAAACTACGTGAAAAGATAGACCATAAATTCTAAGGGAATCTGTTCTTCCTGTTCTGCAATTTTGCTTATGGAGTCTTTTGTATTTGTAAAATACTCTCCAGGTAATCCCCAGGGGTGCAGGGAGGTTAGAGGGTAGTCCTCAGAGTTATTCCTGAGGCTCCTATCGTTGTAGAATGCTCTTTTCCCTCCCGTTCACCTGTTCAACTCTTACTCATCTGACATCAGCTATGCATAGTGTCCCAATTTCCAAGCCTTTCCTGGCCAAGTAAGTGCCCTCTCTGAACTCATTATTGTTTAACAGTTACATATTCATGTGAAGCTCGTCCCTCTGTGGTAAGCTTGCTGAAAGTAAGAATCGCATTTATGTGTCTTCGGTTCCTAGGCACTCTGTGTCATATATGACAAAAAGCATGTCGGAGAACTAAATTAGTAAACCGAAAGTTCAGAACCACTTGGAAGTAGTTTTTGAAAGTCTTTAACTTTGCTTTATTTTCTTTTCCCCAATTGAATTAAGTGCCTACTACAATAAATATTAAGCCACAAAATAAAAAATTTTAGGTGTCAAATATAGTGCAGAGTCCTGGGATGCAGAAGTTCCACATAGAACTACATTTCCCGAAATGTAGGAGAGCCCCAATACTGGTTGGTTTGCTGACTGGTCCTGAAGTCGGTTCACCTCGGCCAATACTAACGCGACAATTTTCTGAAGCCGGCAGGTGGCGACCAATCCTAAAGGGGAGGGCGGACGCTTTTGATTTGGGTTCGGTACGCACAAGCCTTTTGTGGGTCTATTGTGGCTTTTCACAGGACCCCAGAGGGAATGGGGAGTGTTTAACCTGGAGATTGTCCTCCCCGCCCCCGCCCCTCGAATTAGAATCCTTGTCTAGGCGCTTCCCACCTTCCTCTTTTCCACTCCCTTCCTAATTCAGTCCCAGCCCTTTTCCGTGCAGTCTGTGGGAGGATCCCCTCTGCACTACTCTCTGCAAACTCGAGCCAGACCTGTGTCGCTAAGCATCCGCGGAGACAGGACAGGTGAAGGGGCGGGTAGGTGGAGCAAAAACTTCCTCCCACCTGAAGAGTGGGGAAGTTCCTGGGGTTGCGGGCCGTCTAATCACATTGCAGAGAGGATTTAAGGTCCCGAAAACCAGTGGCAGCGCGACCTCACAGGCCCGGGACTCGGAGCCCGTCCCTTCGGCAGCCTGTTTTGTCCTAGCAGCTGTTTGCCACCGCCAGACTCTCTTTACCCACAGCAACAGCTTCAGCAAAGAGGTCGGGCTTCTTCTGCTTCTGGGTTCTTCTCCTTTTCTACCACCTGTCATTCTTTTGCCACTAACATAATTTTTGCCCAGACTCTCTTTGTCAAAACATTGAATCCAAATCCATTCAAAACGAACCCATTTAGAATAAAGCGGCAACCCTAATATTGCAACCAGCGGCCGGGAGCGTGCACCTCATGAAGGTGGGGGAGAGGAGAGGAAGCATCACCCTTGCTTTAATGATCGAATGTAAAGTCAAGTCGCGGTTTCCTGCTGCTTGTGAGTCGCCAACGTTTTTACTGTGCCAGGTGCGGCAGAAGCAGCAGCAGACTGTGGCAGGGCTAGCTTAGGGTGGGCGAAAGGGAGGCAAGAGTCTGGGATTTCCGCAGCGGATCACTGAAGGACCCCGGCTTTCTCCCGGCTGGGGTGGGAGGTGGGGGCGGGGAGTCGCGACTGCGCACGCGTCAGGCCTAAGGGAGGGCC